TTTAAATGAGAAAGTCTGTATGTAAAACATGAAAAACTCCATATCAGTGATATCTACAAAGGTGTACTCATTTCTTTGTTATGGTACTTTACTGTTCCAATGAAACAATCAATCAGAATCAGAATCAGAATACTTTATTGATCCCTGGGGGAAATTATTTTTTGTTATCTGGGGGAAATTATTTTTTGTTACAGTGCTCCATTTTAAACCAACATTAAGACAAGACAGACAATACGCTAACTAAGAATAGTACAATATATACATATATATACATACATACATACATAAGTCACTTATAAATAAATATTTGGAAAAGAAACATGTGTAGTTGTAGCAGCAAACAGTGTGTTAAGTGGATGCGTTGTACAGGGAGATGGCCACAGGCAGGAATGATTTCCTGTGTCGTTCAGTGGTGCTTTTCGGTAATCTCAGTCTCTCACTGAACGAGCTCCTGTGACTGACCAACATGTCATGGAGTGGGTGGGAGGTGTTATCCAACATTGTCTTTATCTTGGACAGCATCAAGTACAGACAACAAGTACAGAAGACTGCATCTGGATCTGAGGGCAGCAGTGTTATGGTGAAATTTAACTTGTTCTTTTGTGTAATTGCACATAGCCCATCACAGGACCCCTTAGTAAGCTGTACAGCATAAGTTTTCAATTCACTTTTGTCAGAAAACTTCACAGTATGAGAAGTTACAGCACAGTTTCTCCAAACGTGTGGTTCTTTTTCAGCCAGCGTGCTTTTAGAGCATCTACATTAGCTCATGTAGTAAAAGTACAATCAGTAAGTGTACTTTAACATTTGAGATTCCGAGTCACTCTTGCTTAGATCATGTGAACTATATCATGAACCTTTTTTTGTATAATGCATCAAACCTGTTCAAATCAGTTTATTTTCAATTTATTTTAACTAATCTAGAGACAAGCAAGTCCTTTTTAGCTTCTGTTATGCTTTTACCTCTCACGTGTTAAACTAGATGTTAGTGTTCTCAGAGTTAACATGTCTCATGTTGCCATGTTGTATTTCTAATACCCAGCCTCAGTGTTCGCCCTGTTCACCCTCAAATCCAAACACCAATGATCTAGATATTCACAAAATTCATAAGGAGATTCTTAAGGTCTTAAGTTTTGTTGTTTTTATGTTTTACATAAAAAAAACTTCACATTTTTTATATTTTTAAACGAAAGTGACATGCAAGGATATTTTTCTTTAGTGATGTTGCTTCAGCAATCTCAAATACTAATTATTCTGGGAATTTTTATGGTCAAACTATGTGATTTTCCAAATGTGTGTGTGTGTGTGTGGAGTAAAATGACCTTCTTCTCATGATGCTGTCACCGTGAATCATTCAGGATTAACAACACAAATTGTATCGATAGCAGAAACAGTCTTATAACTTATAATTCTCACACGTTACTGCTAGTTTTACAAACGCAGTCTTCTTCAGCTCTGTTTATGTAGCTTTTATGAAACTGATTTTCCATAGTACAAGTAGAATTTAATTTTTCTTTGCTCTCCAGTATAAATGCAATAATTTGCAGGCTTTTTACTGAAACTCTCACAATGCAACACTCAATGCTCAGAGCTTCATATATCAACAGCTCTGAAAATATCTTCTTTTTTTAAAGTAATGTAGGACAGGATCTCTCACTCTCTGTGTCTCAAAAAACCCAACTAAACTGGCAATCACCACTAAACAAATGGAAGTAGTTTATGGCTTTTTTATCAGCTGCATTTCTTTCATTTATGTATTGATCACATTGTTTATTGGTAATGCTTTTAGGTCACTGTTTTAGCATGTCTGCCTCACACCCCATTTAAACAGTTTGACAGACAGTGGGGTCTGGTAAGGAAGTTGGGGGAAAGACAAAAGGTGTGAAAACAGCTGTGTACTGCCTTCTTTCCTGTAGGAGGTATTTAACTGAGAGCCATGCTCAGTGAGAGACTCTGCTCACCCTCTGTCCCAGCGATGGCAGTCCCTCACCAAGCTCGATTTCTGTTCTTTGTCTTGATTAAAGAATGTTAGCTACCGCTCATCGCTTGTCTGCAGGCTTTATTAAATGGAAAACTTCCACAACAACCTCTAAACAGTGGTTTATGGCTTTTTGTCACCTGCAACACCATGTAACACTTGGATGTTAGATTCTTTTACCAGTCAGTGTTGTTAGCCCCAACCCCCAGGCTCCAGGTGTCTGAGCTCTAACCCTGGCTGCCAAATGTCCCCCTGAGGCCTTTGTGCTTTTTACCACCAGACTAAGTTTGTATTCCTATCTACTAATATTATTTTATTTTTTATTATAGCACAAGGTTCAGTTAGGTTACTACTTTGACTTCCTCAATTTGAGCACATTTCTGACCCGATACTTTATCAAACTTTTACTCGAGTGTTTTTGACACTAGCAGCTGTACTTCTACTTAAGTAAAAATTGCCTGCAATTTTGCCACCTCAGTTGCCACTTTTCTGGAGTTTGTACAGTTTTTATATTGAAACGTTCAATATTTTACGTGTTATCCTTGATCACAGTTCTAAACAAGTTAACTTTCTTCACTTCAAAGTAACCCAAAAAAGAAACTATATGTCCAGTTCTCTTTACTCCAAACTGGTTTAAGGCTATGCTGTTGTTGTGATATGGCCATACAAATAATATTAAGTTTAATTAATCTTAAAAAAAAAAAGGCTGCTTCATGGCTACCTGTTCAGAGAATTTGCAGACTTTTATGGAAACTGTCACAATGTAACACTCTCACTGTATGAGAATATAATAATATAATAATAATTTTTTTTAAAATGCATATAAATCGAATTAAAGTTTTCCCCCAAGGCATGCAGCATGTGTTTGTGGCCATACTGAACGTTACAAAAGCACAAGTTTAACTAAACAATTTTAATATGGTTTAATACATTTTTAAACACATGAGCACGGAGCCCGAGAGAGCACGGTCCGGAGACACGGGCGCGCCCCCGCGCACCCAGACACACAGCCTCGGGCGCGCGCGGGCGCGCGCACACACACACACTGACCCGCCACCAGATGGCGTTTTTTGAGCATAAAAAAATTAATTTTTTTTAAATTGCTTAAAGAAATAAAAGAATGCTATTTTGATATATAAGAAACTTTCTAAATAATCAATTATATTTTTAGGAATATCATATTTTTAGGAATATCATATTTTTATTACTTCCTTAATTACTTCCCCGGAGTAATTCCAGCTCATGAATAATTCATGACCTGTCAGTTTGACAAGAGGGGTATAATATCACTCTCTCAAACAATATCATGACCAGCAGCTTTTAAGGCTTTGGCTCCAGCAAACATCAGCTGATACTAGAAATTAATATTAAATACATTCTAACAACAGCTGATCAAGCTTAAATGTGCTGCTGTTGTTTATCCGCTGGTTTCCTCTTTCTGGGCAAAGTGGGCAATAAACAAACAAGAGAGAAAAGCCGATCAGCTGATCATTTATCAGTTTCATGATTGAAGTATCAACAGGAGAGGGAGGGGGGAGAGAATGAGAGAAGTAATATTAATATTTTCTCTCAATACATGATGATTCCGTTTTTACAGAACGGTTGGCAACTCTAATAACTAATTGTGAATAAAATAAAGTTCACTATCAGTAATATCATAGCACCCGTCTAGCAGTATAAAAAAATCCGTCATGCTAGCTGGTACGCAGTACGAGTTATTTTAACTGGGAGGAAATAAAAATGTGAAAATAAACTACAACTAAACTTGGTTTATATCTGACCCACTCAGACCAACTTCTCACCTGCCCCTCGGACCGGCCGCGCCTCATGTCTCTCCTCCTCCTGCCTCCCTTATCCCTGATCCACCTGCTGGCCTCCACCACTTGCTAATGTTACTGAAACTGTGGAAGCTCCGCCATAGAAAACAACTGAGTTCTTTTTACACATCTGCCAACATCTGGCCAATCTGGCCACCACCTGTCATTGTTTATACCGTTGCAAAAAACAAAGCAAAACGAAACGAAAAATCCCCATCTGCCCACCAGGCAAATGCCCAGTATGCCCCGTGGCCAGTCCAGCTATGCTCACTACTGCTAGTACTGCTCACTACTGAATTATACTGCTAATTGGGAATAAAATTGATGAACGCCAGAAAATAATTTGGATCATGTCTTTATGAGACGTAATATCATCACCTGAGCTCTGTAAAGCTATTTAAATATTGCTAGATTATTGTCCTCCCTTAACAAACATGCTACTTCTATCTATACAGAAACTTGGTGGCTTACTGTGTAAGTCACATTTATAAGGAAAAGATTCATAATCAGGGAAGATCATAATCGGGGTATGTCCACATTAATAAGTGACAGAGAGCGGAACTAACAGCCCTCCCGTTGTTCAATAAAAAATGATTTAAATATAGCTCATCCGAGGGTTACTCACACTTTAACGATGGTATGGAAACCAAAGGATCCACAGAGAAAATGTGTTTTCTTAAATTGTGTAATCTGTAGTCTATGAGGCAATAAACCAGCTTTGTCCCGGTGTGACTGATTTCGAAATGGGTTGTTTCCAAACGCGAACATGGGTACGTGAGGAAATCCGCGCAAACCACCACACCTTTGTCAGAGATGACGGTATCACGTTCCTTGGTAGCAAACGAGTATGTCACGCTTGTTACCTGTGAGTGAAACGGTGAAAAAGCTCTCACCGATAGAGTCTACGCATCGTTTGTACGTGTATTATATGAAACTGAACCAGAAAGCGATTTCCTCGTAGATCGGGTAAGTCATTTATAAAAGTATCATATTTTACCAGATGATGCGGTAAAAACAGCTTAATCTTCGCTGATGTTATTTTCTTTATTATCTTATAAGTGAATAGAAATGAGACATGGCTAAGTGTGTTGTAATGTTGCTTTATATATGATGACTTTCTAAACTATAACTTGTTATACTTTGCTGATTATATCACCACACACTCTGTCTGCAGATTGGTAATGTTTCCTGGTCGCACATCTAGAATGATTTCAAAATCAAAGGTGCTGGTTTTCCTGCTGTTTTTCACTGGTATTGGTGTGTATTTCAAAACGGGCTACCAATTGACTCATTATGCTGTGGACCAAAAGCTGTGTGCTTGCATAAAATGTTTATCAGAGGATAAGCAGTTGCTTCTGGATCGATCGAATAGAAGTGTTCAACCATTTTTGACTGCAAACTTAAACCTCTCACAGAATGAATTCAACTGGTGGAAGGTAAGTAGTCACCAGGAAAGGATGACATTTTTACACACACCCCTCCCCCCCCCCAGCTCATTTGGTCTAACAACAAAGTCTAACAAATCGTGTCTGACAGGATTTGCAGGCTGAAAGCCGTAGCTTCAGAGTTTATGAAACAACAGTGGCCAACTTGTTTCAGATCTTCCCAAAGAATCCAGATGTTATACAACCCAAATATGACCACTGCAGGACTTGTGCTGTGGTGGGTAATTCTGGTAATTTAAGGAGATCGCATTATGGACCGCTGATAGATTTACATGAAGTTGTCATAAGGTACTTTCTAAGCTAAAGCAATTTTTCTTTACCATTAAATTCAAATTCAAATTTTATTTGTCACGTACACAGTCATACACAGTACGATATGCAGTGAAATGCTTAGATATGCAGTGAAATGCAGTGAAATATCCCCTCCTACACAAAAGATCCAAACTGATGTGAAATATATCCCTTTGTGCTTTTTAGAATGAACACTGGTATTACCAGAGGCTTTGAAAAAGACGTTGGAAACAAGACAACTCATCATGTCATGTATCCAGAGAGTGCTGTGGATTTGGATGACAACACCCATTTTGTACTGTTTCCCTTTAAGATACAGGACTTTGAGTGGCTCATTAATGCCTCTACAACAGGGTTTACTGGAAGGTGAGTTCTCTTTTTCAGGGCTACATGCACATGTATTTGACATTTATTTAACGAGACTCAGTGTCTCATTTACAAGAGAGACCTGTTTTAGACAACATAATTAAATGAAAATAATAAAATAGAAAAAATAAAATAGCAAAATCTGCCTCATTAAGATCAAGTTCCCAGTGATGAAAATCAGCACTGGGACGTCTTTTAAATCTACAAGCAAAATCAGTTAAGCGAGAGAGCTCAAAGTCTTTCTGTAATGTATTCCACGAAGACAGACTTCAAATGATGGCACCTTTAAGCTCTCTACAAACTGATTATCCTGAAATCATACTATGACTACATTTTTATGCAACATGCAGACAGATGAAGTGTCCTCATAACAACTCATCTTACTGTAGTTCATTTACGTATGCTTTTGTACTGTTCTTAGGATTGTGACTTAATATAAAGTAAAAATTAAAAAATTAAATAAAGACTCTTAATGCTTGTTGAAAAGTTATTTTATGTAAACCATTTTTAGGCAGTTGTGCAGCCACTAATTTGGGCACATGAAAATCATACATTCAATCATACAATCATTTTGTACTTTATTTTGTTTCAGATAAAATATTCTGATTTCATCTGAGCTTGCCCAGCTTTCTTCTTGGTCCCACCAATGCCACCCCATTAAAAGAAAAAATAACACTCTAAGGTTTAGATGTTACAGTCAGCATACACTACCTTCTTTTCTCCCAGCTGCTAAAATTACCGACACCTGCTCCTAAGCAAATTATCTCGAAATATTTCCCCTAGATTGTCTTGCAGTACAGAATTTACATCAAATGCAAAAATAGAATGCCACTGCATGAATTCAACATGTATGCAGATTAAAAGGATTTGGCTGATGGATGTAGTGTGAGGTGATATAAGGTGAATTTCTGTATCAAACCATTACTCTGATCCTTCTCCATGTTCAAGACGGACCATGCCTTTTTTAGCTTTGTTTTTGTTAAACACCTACTTCATATTTTTCAATGTCATGCTGTTTCCAACAGGTCATATATGCCAGTGAAATCAAAGATCAAAACTAACAAGGATTTGGTGAGTAGCGTCAATGGCAAAGCTTCCTGGTGGCAATGGTAATATTTAAAAATAAAAGATGTTTAAAGGCTCATTCTAATTTCTAACAGGTCATGGTGGTAAATCCAGCTTTTATGAAATATGTACATGAGGTTTGGCTTGGAAATAAGGGACGTTATCCATCCACTGGCTTTATGGCTTTGATTCTTGCACTTCACATTTGTGATGAGGTAAGTACAAAGTTTTCAGTTTCTGAAGTGCCAGACGTACAAAATAAAATATGTTTTTCATTTTCATACAAGCTGGTCCATTTGAGTCTTTGCTAATTTGTTCTTTTGTTCTTATATTGCTCTCCTAAATAGATGTGCATTTCAAAAGTTCAAAATGTCTTTGGTGAAGATCAGAGCAGGTTTACCCACCAGTACCACTTGATTAAAAACTCTGGTTTAATCTGTGAATGGTTAAATTTCAGTTCACATGCCCTATGAAAGTGAAAGCTGTTGCAAGTATTTCTGATGTGTCCCCTTCTTAAATTGACTAGACTACAATCTAGAAGACATTCCTTCATGGAAAGCTTTTTAGCTAAACCTCTCAATAAGAGGTTTTGTCATTGTATACTCATGGTATAATCATAGTGTTTCCATTTAGTGCTCAGGTCGCTGTCCAACTGTTCATTTCATTTTTCAGCAGCCATTGTTTGGATTTTAGTTAAAAAAGGGACATTTTGTTCATGCATTTGTTTCCCATTCATTCATATGTTCATTTTTTGTCTTCCTAGGTTAATGTGTTTGGTTATGGCGCTGACAGTGATGGAAACTGGAGTCACTACTGGGAAATACTCACAAACAAAAGGTTAAGAACTGGAGTACATCCTGGAAATTATGAGTATAACATCATCCAGCAACTAGCTCAGCAACAAAAAATTAAGTTCTATGAAGGCCTAATGAAAAAAATGTGATTGAATGCCATACACTCAGTAAGGAAAGAACTGAAAGCCAAATGGATGTGTATCTACAACTATAGTAATTTCCTAACCCTCCTAACTGAAACTGATATTGGGAATCTTTAGGAAGGACTAGTAATCATGAAAGGGGTTACGTTAAAGAAGTCTTTGGATATGTGACATTTTGGTAGTTTCCCCCCTAAACCATAGCTTAAATTAACCATGTAAAAAATTTACCCAGGGGTTATACTCTTTAGTAGTTTCTAACATCTATGGTTCTTAAGAAATGAAGTATTTTCTTACGAGTTGGCAGAATTACAAGAAGACAGACAACAGCATTATTATTCTTAGTTAAAGTAAGCTGGTTGCATGAAAAGGAAAATGGTGCAGTAAAGTAACTTATAACATAGAGGGTGTTTAATTCAGTCAGCAAATATTTAGATTTGTAGAATTTTACAGGGTTGATCTCCTTAAACTTGTGTTATTGTTATTATGCAAGTGGAGAGCCGTCATACTCTCAGAGTAGGAAGGACTCAAACACACAAACACAAACAGAGGCAGGCAGTCTTTTCGTTCAAGCTTCAAACATGGAAGTATTTGAGTGTTTTGCAATTACAAAATTTAAATTAGAATTCAACAAATTTGACTTTTAGACTAATGGATCACAAAAGTTTAAAGTTAGATATGTCATTATAGATGATGATACATAGAGGGTGCTCTTTTACGTCTTGCTGAAGCAGAAGAAACATGTAAAACATAACACATTGGGTTATGTGTAACTGTAAACCTACACACAGTCTCTTTTCTCCTGGGACTTATACTTCCAACAGGCAGTATTCCTTTCAAATTCATGGCTTACAAGAGAAGAAGAAGCTGTTTAGAACAAACAAAAATGTAAATATATAAAATCAGATAGAGTGGCTATGAATGTAATGACAAGAATGCAAAAGACAAATGATGAAAACCTGGAAAGCCAGATGCCTGGAAATCAAGGGGATAACATAGGGAGACAAACAACCAATCAAGCTAACATCCAGTTATCTTGAGTGGTTTAAAATAGCTAATTTTAAAATAACACTTCACCTAGAATCCACACAGTGACAAAGAGACCACAAGTCATCAACTGTCAGAAATTTGAAAAGGTTTAAAGATTATTTGTAGTTTACATCCACTACCTGGCCTTGTTACACAAAAGCTGACAAAATAATCAGTTTCCTGTGCTCAAGTAAAAGGCATATGAGCAAAATAATTTGTTTGTTGTTATGACCAGGGTAAAAAGATGAAACTGACATTTGCCAACTTTTAATTGTACTTTTGGATGCTGAACATTGGAATTATATGACAGTTGTTAAACAGGTCAGATTAACACGCTGTGAAATTGCTTCTTTTTAGAGAGTCCATCTAAGAATTCTTGCCATTGGTCTATGTTGAGTCAGTCTGTTTTTTTAAAGCAGAAAACCTGCAGAAACAGGTAATGGTAGTGTGATGATATTTTTGCTGAAAACTACCATGTGCTTTTCTTCCAGTTTAGGACAGAAAATGATTGAAACAAGAAGCTAACAATGGAAAAAAAAACTATAACATAAAAAACACAATTGTGAGTTATTTTTCTGAATGACTGAAAATTTGGTTTAACCTTAGTGTACTTAAAGTTGTTATTGTGAGTTTCCCCATTCTATTTTGGCAACAGGAAGAATCTGTTAGCTAGGTAGCAAAGTGAATCTGTAATTTACTTTAAAATGAAAAAAAAGAAAAAGGTTTGCTATTCCTTCCTATTATGTAAGGGGTCATAATCTAGAGAACAGGAAACTACAGAACACAAAGTTGATTTCCTTTTCTGATATATCAGGCACACTGAAACAGTGCTATAATCAGAGTTAAACAACTACATCGCTTAATGAATGAATTGATCACTGAATGAATCTTTACAGTAATAGACTGAAAGGATTCGTGGTGATTGTTTTTAAAATATATAATAATAATTTTTTTAAAAAACATTTTACACCTTTCCTTAGGTATTATCCCATAAGGGTATGGATAAAGTAAGCAGGTAATGTTTAGACCTTCCACTAGCTTTTTGAAGAACTAGTTGTCATTGGAAGATAAGACACACACACACACACACACACACACACACACACACACACACACACACACACACACACACACACACACACACACAGCTTGAAAATGTCAAACAAAATAACTCCTGTCAGTATTTTTTATTCTTTGCGAAACCAACCACCACCACACCAACTGCTAAAGGGATAACAGAAAAGATAAAACCTAGTAGACTGACAGCTAATCAAGCTGACCAAAAAAGAAAGTGCGATAAAGATGATAGCACTTAGGAGTTGAATGATCATGACTACTAACCCATTAAACGAAAAGCATTGTGCATTCAGTCATTTTCTAAGCAAAATCCTAGGTGGAACAAAAACAAAGTATCTCCTAAGAAAGAAAAGATGATGCAGCTCAGTACAGATGAAATTAAAGCCTTTGAGTGTGGTAAGGGCCATACCTTGGAGGGCCTGAGATGTTGCCAGAGGGGGTGGAGACATATAGACACAGACAAACAGGTACACACAGACACAAACGTTTCAACTTTGAAAGTTTGTTAAGTTAACATTTTATTTATTCCAACTGTTAGTTTGTTTAGTTTACTTTGGTTGAACTCCCCTTACTTACCTGTGTTCCAGGAGCAAAAGGAGGAAGTGCTGTCTCACTTCCTGTGTTTATAGGTTCCTATTTAGTTCTGATGTCTCAGGAAGAGACCAGGTGAGGGAGTAGGTGGGTGGGGTGGGGGGTGAGGGGGGTTGTAATTTAATAAAGTCAAGGGTTTTGTTTGCTTGAGAGTTATATGTGTTGTTGTAAAATGTAAGAGCTATATCTTAGAAGTGTGTTTTATTGCTGGTAAAGAGGAGCATCACAAGTAAATGATTATGATGGTAATGTTTAGTCTTCTCAATTGAATGGAATAGGCCATAGGAGAACATTGTATTTGGATAGCTTGAACTAGAACTAGTGATGGCCAAACGAAGCTTTCTGAAGCATTGAAGCTTGTGTTAAAAAACGGTTCATTAATCGAAGCGTTTTAAGATAGTCCTCTCTGGTGACATCTGGTGGCCAAAAATATGAAGAACGTCTTGAATGTAGAAATTAAAGTGTACTGCTTCATTATTATGACTGCCCACTTTACAGAGTGGACTACACAATTCTGTCTGATACTGGGCTAACCTTGTGTTGCTTTGAACATGTATTTTTTGGCTGTTTTTTTTCTATTTGTTTAATAAATACATTTGATCAATAAACTTCTTTTTAGTTAAACATGTACCATGGTGTGGTTGCTCTTTGCTTGCGGCTTCTTGATGTTGGTAAATACAATAGATGAAAAATACATGTATAATGTACAACACCTTCTGGAGGATGCATCTGTTGTGAGGTCCTGCCTATGTGTGCAATTAATCACTGGACAGCTGGACAGGTATGTTTATAGATAATATTGTATTAGGCCACTTTTCCTTCACATATTTTTCACCAGTGGGATCACTGAATTTGGCAATGTACTTTACAGTGAGCAGCAGCATGCTCGCATTTAAGTATATAATTGTTTGCAATGTAACAAAGATTACCCAACTTTTTTTAATGATCTGTAGACCTCTTGTCAAATTAATGACCCACCAATATGTTCCATTTATTTGTTTAGTCACCAAATATTTAAATATTACAACTTTTACAAGAATAATCTCAAAGTTTTATTATGACCCACCAATATGTCCCTTGTGTTCAGTAAAGGGCAATATAGGATTCATGTTTTAGTGGCCTTAAGAACTCATTAACCACTCATCAGTGTGAAAAGGATCACCCATTCAAATCTACTCAAACAGAATAACAAGGGTAAATAAAATGCTCTTAAGCAAAAAAAGTGTGTTTTAACATATATATATAATATAGTTTGTTGAGTCATTCTTTAGACTAACTTGACAGTTCTTAATTTTCTGAAAATCTATAAAGGTTTTAACATTTTCTTTCTGTTAGCTACATATGAATAAATAAATAAATAAATAAATAATTAAATGAATAAAAAAAAGGTTTGTGTACAAATGAAACTGGACAGTTCCTCAAGCCAATTCCACAGAGAAAATAAAATGTAAAAATAAGATAAAATGGAAACAAAAACAAAAAACTCCATGGTCCTGCTCCCCAGTCGATGCCATACCTATTATATTTAAAACTTGCTCATTATGTAAGTGATCATTATCAAGTTACAGAATAGAACCAAACAGAGCACATGAAGTTGATTATGTTTTCTGTTGTGACAGGCATTTTCAAATGCAGTATTTCAAGCAGAGCTCAGAAATTAAACAAGAAATGGATTTATGAATCAATAAATGAATGTATCTACCAATTCATCAGTCATTCAATATTTTCACAACAATAAAGTGAAATGATTTTTGCAAATGTCTCCCCAGTATGAACTCAAAAACCACAATAAGGGCATTTGTGAGGTAAACTGGTAATATTTAGACTTGCCATTTGCCTTTTGAAGAAGTGCTTGTATTTGGCTTTTTCATGGAAGTTCTTGGCCAGATAACAACAACATAATACATAACAGTAAAAAGTCTGAGTCAGAAGAGACAAACTAATGTCTGACCAAAGACTGCTGGCCTGAAAGAGCAGGCTACAGTTTTTCCCTTTTTATGGGACATTGGCAAACACTGGACAGCCTCTTTTGAGCTCATCCTTCATCCAACCAAGGTTCACGAAACTCAAGAGATTCACATCTAGAACAAATAAAAAGGATTAGGCTTAAAACCAGACAACCAATTAGTCATTTAACTGATTAATGGTTGAGACATTTTTGTGTGATTGCATTTGTAACATCTGAATAAGTGTTGATTAATCACTGCTGTTAGTTTTTTTTTTTTTTGCTGGAGCACCACACAGCCCTTGGATCGGTTGAAGATGGTTTTGTTTTGGAGGCTGCAGACTCTTGTACTGGAAATTTCTTTAGTTTATGTATTAATTGATTCACTTTAGTAACAGTAGTAACACTTTTGTACTCAGTATAGAAAGCTCACTCTTGGCATCAGTTGTATGCATGTGGAATGTGATCAAAAGTGGGGTCCAAGTTTTATTGCACCTTCACAGCAGACTCATTTTCCTCTTGAGGGCTCTGGACATCCTGTTGCAGATGAGATGACGGTTGGTCGGAACTGTTCCTAGACTGAAGAGATAAGGATCTGTTAATAATTGATCTGCTGTGAAACGTTCTTTGTTTGGGAAGTATAAAGGGATCAGGGTGATGTCTTTCACTCAGAAAAACGGGTTAGGTGTGTGATCTGAACATTTTTCTCCACTGCAGTGTTTTTCTTTTCTTTTTTTAATAAACCTCACTTCAAAAGCCACGCATGCCTGTTGTTTGCAGTTTTATTCAATATTTTCCATAACACTCTCAACACTGAATATCCAGCAATGACGAGCTCACCTGAAACTTCACACCTTGGCTCATGTGATTAGGTAGAGCACATGTGTCAAACTCATGGCCTGCAAGCCACA